ATGAGTTGCTGCCACCTAGTGACTGGAGGCTTGTTATCATTCAAGCCTTACAGCAGTGCTACACTTATGTCCAGCGTGCCATATACCATCGAAAGCCCCTCGCGCCCCCCCGGCACTTCACCTGGGGGAACCAGCCCCACTATTTGAGAGGTACTGACGTAAGGCAACAAGCATCACTGGTAAAACAGAGGAGTGATGTTCCATTTGTGACATGTTTGCGTGCTACATCTAGCACATACGAACGCCGCAGAATTTCAATTACAACCCAATCCCGCTTTGTTTTTATTTTCTGCAAAAAAAAAAAAAATGTTGTTTACACTACAGTTCTTAAACAAATGTTTAAATAAAATGAATTTTCCATAAGGCATTGAAGGGAGTTTTGTGGCTTCAGGAGATTATGGAGGCTGTGGCAAGTCTAAACAAACACATCAAAAGTACCTTTATTATGTCTTATTTGTTGGATTCTGTATGTGTTTACGTGTCCTAATATGTTAAATATTTACGTGACATGCTCTAAATACTAACAGAATGTTGACTATAAAACATGTAGTTTTAGTTTAGTTTAAAGTTTAGTTTAAAGTTTAAGTTTATGTAGAGACATGTCTGAAAAAGAAGGTCTTTAACAAAATAACGTTTTACACTTTACAACAGATTATAGGTTCATTAAGCTGTTTGTACTTTTGGGTTCCTGTAGACCTTTACACGAGTGGATTTATTTATGTTCTAAACTTCAGTACTGTGCATTTACACTTCTTCTCCCTCATTAAGTTCTCTAACATAGTGTGACCTCGGGGGGCCTTTCCTCGAACCGCAGCTTTGCCATGAAGACCCAGAGAACTCGAAGTGCCAAACCAACCTCACCATTGGGCCGTCAGAAGTCTCGCTTCACTTTACGAGGCCGAAGGAAGAAGGACGGAGTGATCCGAGGCAAACTTCGCATCCGCTCCATGCCGGGTGCCTTCTTGGTTCTTGGGATTATTGTTGTGGTGGTGGGCACTGCGTTGGCTGTGGCAGGCTACTGGCCTTACCGGATATCGAAATCGTCCATACTTGAAGCGGCCAATGGAGTCAGCGGCTCGGAGTCACAGAATTCCGGTTGGAGTTTGGGAGCTAAGGGCCTGCTGTCCACTACTAGCTTTGTCCACAGTGAACGCATGAAGCTTCTGGGGCCTGTTATTATGGGGGTGGGACTCTTCATCCTGATATGTGCCAACACTGTCCTGTATGAAAACAGGGACAGAGAGACTCAGATGCTGCTGGCTCAGATGCGTAGCGTCATCTGCTCGGTCTCCGCCGCGGTGCCCTCTGCAGACCTTCAAGAAATAGCGGTGGCCAACTCCATGTCTAAACACTACCAGTGGGTGAGCAGTTTACCAGCTGCTCATCTCAACATCCTGTGTCTGCGACAGCTGGCCAGCTCCGAGCCCCTGCTTCAGACCGAACGCGCTGGAAAACACGAGGACGGCGCTGAGGACATCTACCAGCGAGCTGTTCTCCAGACGAAGGCCCTGCACCATCACGAGTCGGAGTCTCCGCCTTCCCTTCAGTTCTCCCATTCCAACTCCTGCAACTCCAGTCAGACCGACTTCAACACGCAGTGCGGCGCCGAGCACGCGGACAGTGACATTTTTAATCTGCAGGACAACACTTATGTCAAACTCAACAACTGTCTGATGTCAGCCAGTTCCATGTCCACCCTCGGAGTTGAGGAGGTGGACATCCCGGCGGCCCAGCCACGGCGTTGCCACAGTGTGAGCTACAGGACTAACCCTTGCATAGCTTGGACTAGTGCGCATCTAGACAAAGGGCATCGTGCGCCAAGGGTGAAGAGACACGCGCAGCAGCCAATTGGCACTAAAAGAGAAACTGATTCACAGGTTTGCATTAACCTTCTGGAGCAGGTGGAGAGTGTGGAGGAGCAGACCCACCAGAGCTGGCCTCGGTTAGACCTGGCAAGTTGTAGACGGTATTTGAAACTAGAAAACAAAGAGGACTCGGTAGACAAACTGTTGGACCAGTTAGAGATGCAGTCCTCTCAGTGGGATAAGAGTTTCGGCTCTGGGCCTTTCCAGTGATGACATTTTATGTTCGGAAAACTGCATTGTTTGTGAGAAGCATATTTAAACAGAGACTTGAGATCGTTTGAAATATGATGGGTTTTTTTTTCCGAAGGTTCCTCGCAAACCCCAAGGCTGTTCTCAATCTTCACTGGAGTGTCACACACAGAGGAGTTTTTTGCTAGGCGCCATGTGACAGATGTTTATATCATCCAAAGATGTGAACCATATACTGAGTGTGCACTGCACAAGACGGGCAAGGCGGCCACAGACAGTTAATGTCAGTTCCGGATGCCAGCAACGTGAGAAATTAATTTGTATTTCTGTGCCAAAAAATGTTTTTGCCAATTTTTCCGAAAGCAAGGCTGTTACAGGAAAGGGGTATTGTTTTCACTGTGCAATCATTTTTGAACCAAACTACCTGGACCTCTGAACCCATGAAGTGCTGACAGTGCTTTCAGTAAATGCTTGTAGCATTAAAAAAAAGGTCCTTTTTACTCACCTGGGTTTCACTACTTTAAATGCAATGCATGGCAGAGATGTACAGTATGTTACGTCTTAATAATTATGCATACCGTATTTTCCAGAGTATAAGTCGCTCCGGAGTATGAGTAGCACCA